GAGAGGCTCTTCCTCTGTGGGTTATGCAGGGAGGCCCCAAATCCTCTCCAAGGGGAGCCTTGGGCTGAATATCAATGAGTTGTACATGTGGAAGCATCAAAAGGAAAAGCCCTTTAATATGCTTCAGAATATTGTTGTTCTGCTGCCTTATTATTCAAATTTTTTAAAAAAAGAGATGTCCCAATACTTAGTTTTCTCTTATGTTAGAATCAAGGAATGGTCCTAAAGCGATGAAGACATTTCTTACTGGGGGGCCTTTCTGAGGAGTCACCTGGGCAGAGCTGTTTCCTTGATGGGACATCTCTAGGCCTCCTGACTGACCCCAATTTTATTAGCAACCTATCCACTTCTAGTATTTCTTCTTAACAATACCAAAAAGAAATCTTTTCACCTTGCTACTTTGCACAGTTGAGAATGATTAAATGAACTATTTTTATTGTTTGCTAAGCAATCACATACATTTGTTTGAGGTAACTGCAGGTCTGCACACAACAGACTAGATAGTAATATGCAAGGTGGTTCTAGAAATCTCTCACGCCTACTGGCAAAATCCATAGCCAGGAGCAATCAAGGGAAATAGTGCTGTTCTTGTCCTGGCAGAAGCTCGTCTCATTCTCTGCATCAAACACTGATTCTCTTCTACCCTCCCAGCTGCAGCCCAGCAATACAGGAACTGTATCAGCTCATGTTTCATATTTTAAAGAGAAGCTTCCACCAATGCAATTCACAGCAATAGCCTAGCAACGGTGGTGTATTATAGTGAAAATCAATGCAATTTTAAAATTAGAGTTACTTTTCTTCGGTATTTTCTGCTTAGTGGTGGTAGGACAGGCTGTATGAACCATCCAGCATTCTAGCAAAAACAGAACTTTCACCTTGAGTACCCCGTGAAGAAGGCCTCCCTGCTATACTGAAGTTTTTACTGTGTGTCACCTCCAGCACCCTAGCGAGTGCAGCTGCCCAAACTTCCAGATCACCCGCTGGAGGCAGCTGCAGAGTTTTTACTGTTCAGCCACAATCTTGCCTATTTATTTCTGGGCCACACGTGGTTTTGAGTTAAAATTTAAACTGGGTTTTGTGGCATTGGTTTGATCGCTGCAGGTAGCAGGAATAGCGATCCTAGAAAGTTCTATTATTGCAAAAGTCAAGGTTTCTATAAAAATATTTAATGACCAGTATGGCATGGCGGCCAACCAATCAGACGGATGCTGGTGTGATACTGTCTTGATGCCAACCAGGTGGATGTCTGCTCTGGCCACACCTATGGATTATCTAGGGTGCTATCTTTGCCTCCAGCCTGTTAGCTTCACTCTTTGTTACTACTTAGCACAAGATAACCAGTGTGCCCTTCAACTTCATCCCTTCTAGACGTTGATTTCTGCAACCCATTTCAGACGCACCATCACAAGGAGCTGTGGTGCTCTTTTCTGAAGCTCTTCCTACAGGAGGTCATTCCCTTAATCTGTCAGTGATAGAACGATGCTACTGTCATTGAGACATTGCCTGTTAAGCTATTCTGCTTTTCGAAATAACTTAACACAAGTCATTTCACATGGTACCCATATGAACATGTCTAAGCCCATTCACATTAACCAAGCCTCCTTAGGGAAGATCCTAATGTGATAAATGGATGATTAAACTGCATATATGTTGAGAATCTGTAATTTGGGAATAAGCTCTGAGACTGAATTTGCATTCTCCTGACTGAAAAAAAACCCAAAAAACTGGAGGCATAAAACTTTCCCAAATGGAAAACTATTGTTTATTAGAAAACATTGACCATTATATTTTTTATGTTATCACATCTCTATTTATTATGCATTTTCCTAATATTCCTTACAGGGAGATAGAGTTATTCTTCTTAAAAGAATTGATCAAAACTGGTATGAAGGCAAAATTCCAGGAACCAACAGACAAGGCATCTTCCCGGTTTCCTATGTAGAAGTTGTGAAAAGGAATACAGCCAAAGGTGCTGAGGACTACCCCGACCCTCCAATACCCCACAGCTTTTCTAGTGACAGAATCCACAGCTTAAGTTCCAATAAGGTAAGAAGACATTCTGGCATATTAGTAGAATGCTTGGGAGCTTGGAGTAGGATAATCAATGCGCGATTTTAGGACGTTTGACTAGAAGATCACATTTGCTGCAAAGCAAAAGATTTACGTTATGTTTCTAAGTGTGTGAATGCCACATCAAATCAATATAATCTGATTTTTCTTAAATAGGTGCTGGCATAAAGGTTTAATGCTTGATTTTGGTAGTTTCATTTTGAGGTTAAAATATTGAAAGAGAAAGAGAAAACATTAGTATCATAAAGCCCTATATGATATATATCTACATACATATATGTATCTGCTTTCTGAAACTCAATTTTTTCTGAAACTTGATTTTATTTAACATATATATTTTATGTGGATTATATATAGTCACGTGTAGCTTGGCAATGGTGACATGTTCTGAGAAATGTCTTTAGGCAATTTTGTCATTGTGTAAATGTCGTAGAGTATACTTAACACAAACCTAGATGGTATAGCCTACTACACACCTAGGCTATATGGTACTCATTTTATGGGACCACCATCGTGCATTCGGTCTGTTTTTGCCCGAAACGTCATTATCGCACCACACGACTGTGTGCATGTATATATAGATAAATAGCTAGATCCCAAAATGGTTTGTTTCAGCAACAGATGATAATTAGGTTGACAAAATTCTATGAAAGTCTCAGGGTTTTTAGCATAGAAAGACAAATAGAGTAAAATTTTTAATTGATGTCTATAAGTCAGTTTATTAGTTTGAATGAAAATGTCATAGGTTGTCAGACGTCCTCAAGTGTATTTTAGTAGTTTTAGGGCAATTTTGTGCCAGTTCTACTGTCTCACTTGAACAGTAGCTAAAGATAAATACCTTTCTCAATATGTAGTCTAACAGGGACTTCGCTTTTGAACTGGTTAATTAGAAAAGGCTATTCTCCAACTTTCTTTATTCACAATGTGAATTTTTTCTTAATTTTCTGTTGAATTATAATTTATTGCCTTCTTTTCCGGATGGTATTTAGGGATTTGTTCTCCTTTTCATAACTTCCAAGTATAAAACTTTAAATTACCAAGGAATTACTTCTAAAATATTGTAAGTACTTCCCAACATTTAAAAAAATTTCTTAAGTTGCATAATTTATTAATTATTTTAAATGAGATTAAGGCTGGGACATGGAAAAATAAACCATGAAATAAAAACAACCCATTTGCTAGAGCTAGCAAAATAACCTCACCATATCAGACATTATTAAAGTGTGAAGTCATTTCATGTTCCACGGCAAGGTCGTTTCAAGATAGCATCCCCAGTGATCTAAACGACTCCTTGAAAATGAGTCTTAGAAGTGTTTTACATAAGTCAGTGATCTAAGAATCTGCTATCTTAAGAGAAGCATTTTCTTTGAAAAGGGCTAAGTCTAGGCATTTTATTTATTCTACTCCTCTTTTAAGACTGGGTTTCAGATGCAGAGTAATTACTCTCAATCTTTTATCATTGGATAACAGGACAGTCTGCTACTATCTAGTTTTGTCTGAGTGATTATAAAGTTTTCCAGAATCTTCTTTAGTATATTGACTTCACTACCAGAGCTTAGCATTGAGATCAACATCCTTCCTTCAGTAGTTCCTACTGATAAAAGGAAAAGAATCTTCATCCATATATTTGTCTTATCCACCATTCAGTTATCTTAAAAGAACTTACCAGATAAATTTCAAAATGACTGTACCTTCAAATAAAATTTTATAAGAAGGAATAAACATATATCTACAAAAGCTTATTTAACATTTAAGAAATTCTTCCATAATGTCCTAATTAACAATGGCAGTATATATATTTAAGTCATAATGTTTTAATCTTTGTTGTGAATATGATTTAAATATATTTTCGGTTTCCTAAGTTTTTTGCTTAGAATACCGTATTTTACATTTTCTAAATAGAGAAATATACACATTTCACTAATAACTAATTAGTGTTTTATTCTCACTGTTGGGAAAACAGATATGGTGAAAAGCTTACATCTGTAATTTGAAAAAATACTTAATGGTTTCATCCCAACTGGTAATCCATGCTATGCTGGCATTGGCTTAATGAAGGAGACTTCTCATTAGTAGCGAACTCAATCATTTTCAGAAAAAGAACTATAATCTGCTTCTAAATGATGACACCCAAAATATATAAATGTTATATATCCTACTTTCTAACCGATATTTGCAAATAAAAGAAAGAACTCAAGTGATTTATGAATCACTCTGACACACTCAAATCACATTTTTTGGCATACTATCTTTATTTTAGGGGAAACATAAATGTAAGTTGATATTATTCCTGATATTTCTGCTTTTAATACAATAGAATCCAATTCTAGTGCTTTTGGAAGGCAAGATAATTCTGTGATTTTTGTATTATAGGTATCTTTTTGTGATATGGGTGTCCCAGGATACTTAACTTGACTTTCAGTAGAGACAAGTCCATTGTAAAGCTAACCACTTTGAACCTGTTAACATGTGTATTAGTGACTTTGGTGGTGATGGCACCAGAGGAGCAGCAGCAGATAGTAACAGTGATGGGGTAATAAGGACAATAATGGAATTTAAAGGTCTTTCTTTCTCATCCACATAAGATTCCTGTCCATAAGAGAAAGTGTAATTGGAAAGTAATAATCTTGAGTTATTAAATATTTCACAGACTTTCAAAATCTATTACAGTGTTGCATAAAATAGAACTCCAGCCAATAAGGGAACTTCTCTAGACTATCGAATGTGACCTAGGTAATTTCTATCTTATGGAAAATTGACAGCCAGCCCGGTGGTGCAGTGGTTAAGTACACATGTTCCACTTCAGCAGCCCGGGGTTCACTGGTTCAGATCCCAGTCGTGGACATGGCACTGTGTGGCAAGCCATGCTGTGGTAGGTGTCCCACATATAAAGTAGAGAAAGATGGGCATGGATGTTAGCTCAGGGCCAGTCTTCCTCAGAAAAAAGAGGAGGATTGGCAGATGTTAGCTCAGGGCTAATCTTCTTCGGAAAAAAAAAAAATTGAACAGATACAGGACTTGCTAGTAGTGTCTATCTATCCAGTAACAGACCACATGGATGGTATCACTTTATATCAGGTGCTAAGCAGCCTTTAGTCCTGAATTTTCCGTTGATGCTCTCATGAGTTTTGTGACACTTCATCTCATTTATCCCACCCCGTGGGGACATGACCTCATATTTCCATTTTTAAAAAAATAGCTAAATAAATCCTCTTAAGGCCCCATTCCTGTTATAGGACACAGAGGTCAACAGGAATGCCCTGTGTACTGATACACACTCAGGTCCGAGGACCAAGAGTGCCGAGCGCATCAGGGATGTCTCATCCCAAACAATCTACTAGAAAGCGCATCTCCAGAATCTTTCCTGAAGATTTTTTCTTTCCAAACCAAAGTCATCTACCTGGAAAGAACTAAAGTAAAATGTGATCCACTGGCCTCTCTCAAGGCCTTCATATATACAGCCTGTTGCGTTCTTTATAGTCCAACAACAGTAGATAAATGTATTAGAATGTTCCCAGGCAGTACTTCTATTACTACTTTTAATCAATTTACATAAAAATTCTGTCTTGTTCAATATATCTAGAAAATGGCCATAATTTTAAGATATGCAAGTGTATTTCTGTATTTCTACCATGGGAGAATCCATCATCTCCTGAAGTATATTTCTACTATGGGAGATTAAGCTTCATAAGTGATACCTCCACAGGTTTACGTAAAATGTCAAGCTTTTGAGAGAGTATGGGAGTTCTAGCAGAAGTTCACTCCCATTCACATCATATGCTCCTTTTCTATGTAAACATTTACTCTGGAGTTTTTCTTAACTTTGAAGTAGCAGTTAATATAAGTTCAGTTTCATTCTGATCATGGGTTTCTGTCCTTGAAAAATATTTCTCAGAACTTATTCATTTAGAAATATGTTCATGTATAATGGTGTAAAAATATTTTGTGCCATATGTTATAATCGCCTTGCAAACATAAGTGAGAAAATTATGAAAGTTCAAAAGATTTTCTGCAGGAAGAGAGAACGCTAAACAAATTCAGGAAATAAAAAAAGCTCAATTATTGGTTTTCATCCTACATTAACATGATTTCAGAGTCATTTATGCTACTAAATCAATATCTTGAAACCTAATTTAAAAGAGGTAGTCTATTAAGTTAAATCTCTTAAGATTTTGCTATCTGTCCTTGTAATCTCTATGACAGCTTTATCTTGTCATTTGACATCCAAGACCCCTTCCAAATACTAGTAGAGTTTCGTTTTTCGGATAACTTTGTAATTAACATGCTAACGATTTTATGTATTTAGATTCAGCAAAATATCTTCAGATCTAGACCACAGCATAAAATATTTTTTATATTCACTGCCATGCCTTTCCTGCATTTCTCTGTCTCTGTGTTTTGATGCGTCATTATTATTTTCTTGGTTTATTTTATTTTTAACTTCATAAACCCTGCTCGTTTCTAAGTTGGCTTCCAGTGAACCAGCCCCTCCTCCCATGCACAAAGCTTCACCTGGCCCACGTAAAGGAGGTCTCCAGGGACTCGCACAGGGGGCGCTGTCCCTGACAGCCAAGTGTCCGCCAGCAAACCCTTTGGCCCTGACACCACCTCCTTTTCTGGACAGCTTCTTGGATGAATTAGAGAAACTAAGTACTTTAACCTTATCTGGTGACCAAGACAAATCAAATATCCTAGAGGAGATCACCCTTGAAATTCAGGAGGAGCCCTCAGTTCTCTTTCCGTTGCCTCCAGCATCTCTACCTGCCACATCACCACCCTCTCTGCTCCCTTTCACCGGCTCTGGTGTCAGCTCAGCCACAGCCCAGCTCTCTGAGGCAGTGCCACTTCAGGATCCCAGAATGACACCTCAAAACAAGTTTGCAGATCTGACAAAAATGAGAAGGGGCTTTTCGGGCCCTGACAAAGTACCTAAAGTCCTAGGCGATAAGTTCGTGGCCTCTGCACACACCAGTGTGGGTCCCTTGCCCCAAACCCTCCCTGTCATTGGAGAGGAAGATGAGGAAATTGGTGAGGGGGTCATGTCAGGCATTCGAAGAAGGCCAGAATCTCAAGAAGCAGATGCCTTGTGGTGTGGCCATGTTGGCACAGAGACGACACCAAGCCTGCACATTGAAGAGGAGGAAGAGGAGAGAAAAACTGACTACTTAAAATATCCAGTAGCCAGCCCCACAGATCCTAGGACCCCTAAGGAAGACAGCAATGCAGCAAAAACCAGTAATGAGGTATTTTAATTTTGCCTACTTCCTGAAGAACTAACCAGTCTTACTACAATTAGCTAGTACAGTTAATCATATTAATAAACATCAATTTTGACATTGCCTTAGAAACTTCCTTATAAGAAACACAAGGGCTCTATAAGTCAGGGGCAGAGGGGTATATGGAAACACACCGAATTTTCATAAGATGATGGAAATATATGATATAATTCCATTATTTATTTATTACTATAAGTTCATATTTAAATAGTCTTTGTCATTTATATAGTCTTTCTAATTTTCTAATATTAATAATGATACCTAATAGTTGAGCTCTTCTTGAGCGTCAGACAGTATTCTAAGAATTCCACATCTTTACTCTTCAAAACTCAGTAAGATGGATTATGTTATTATCCCCACTTTAGAGATGAGGAAATTATTACACAGAGAGATTAGTCCAATTCCAGGATGTGAAAACTATACACCATCCCTTTGACATAGTGGCAGTTTGAAAAAAAGAAAAAAGAAAAAGGAAAGAAGGAAAGAAGGAAAAAAAACGGAAAAGAAAAGTAGTACTCCAGACCCCTTTCAACTCTTTCTAAAGAGGTAATTTTCTTCAAGTCGGTAACTAATTAAGAATTGGGTCCTGCCTCTTCATCTTACAAACACGGAAACTTGGACAATGATTTTAATCGACAAAGGAGGAAAATACCCTGAATCTTTAGCTTGTGAACCTCTTTAAAAAAAGAAAACCTTGATCTCTCAAATATGCAACCTGTGAATTACAAAGCAAGTATGATTACTGTCAAATACTGATATTATGAAACAAAAAGAATGATCATGTTATGCCACTACTTGAGTCACTTTCCTCCATGGATCCTCTATGTAAAAATCTTAAAAATTGAAAATCATTTTTAAAACCCCAGAGTTTCCTATTAAGATCTTACCAATAATGAATGTAGAGGCTCTTGGCCTATACAGGGTCTTCTTGGGCTTAAGCGATGGTCAGTGCCCATGAGGCCCCTGGTCACTCACAAAACCATGAGGCTTAGCTATTCCCAAACCAGGAGAGAAAATTCACCTGAACAAAGAACCCAGCCATGCCTGCGTTTGAATAGAACAAACATACCACTTAACAATAGGGGTCATTCGTTGCAGGAAGACAAACATGTTTCTAAGTCAAATGCTTAAATAACTAATTTTCTCTTCAGCTTAATCAATTGGAAGACATGATTAGCTATGTGGCTTGGTTCCCAGGAACCTGTTGTGGGCGGTACCCCAGGCCTTGCATTCAGGGCCGTTCCCACCATGCATGCACGCACACGCACAAACGCACGCACACGCATGCACGTAGAGGTCATAACTTCCCTTGCTTTGTAACCAACTGACTACATATAAATTGTGATCTACCTTACACCCAAGTTACGAAGAGTCATTCAGGGTTTTAGATCCTTTTTACTTTCCTGTTTAGAAGGAGCCATCATATAAATATATTATAAAGTTGTAGAATATGGGGGTTCTTATCTCCAGCCACTCCAATCAGAAAAATTAAACTGATCGTACTCATAGGAAATTTTGAAACCAATTCAAAAGAAAAGGTTAGTGCTTTTAGAGCAAGCATTTGTCATAAATGTCACTTCCCAGTGATTTGGTAACTTTAAAATTATTTAAGTTTGGGGGGTATTCTCTAAAGACCGTGTAACCTCGTTCTGGACACGAGCATAATCACATCTTGTCTTTCCTCAATATTTAAGACACCTTCGTTCTCTCCGGGCGACCGAGCATCTACACCTTTTCCCAGCTGTCTTCTTTCCTCCCCTCCCTTTCATTCTCCCTTGGCCTCTGACTCTGAGCTGGTCTCTACAGTCTCTCAGCCTCCCCAGCCCTGCTCACCTCCTCTCCTCCCTAAATACTCTTATCAACAGGAGATAAATTCACCAAAATTAAAGGTAAAGGCATCTTGAGTGTGGTTTGTTGCATGTCTTTAAATGGACTTAATGCCTTAGATATGTGTGTTTAGATCGTGCCATCTTACAAGATCTAAAAAGTCATGTAAACGTTGGTTGCTAACTTTTAACATGTCAGCGTGGCCTCTATCCCAAAATGTAAAAGATAGAGTCACATAGCAGCTATACCCAGATTGAGGAGAAAAACCAACTAAGGTTTATGTAAGAATAAGGAGAGAGGCCAGCCCAGTGGTGTAGTGGTTAAGTTCGCGCACTCCACTTCTGCAGCCCAGGGTTCATGGGTTTGGATCCCAGGTGCAGACCTGTGCACCACTCATCAAGCCATGCTGTGGCAGTGTCCCACATACAAAACAGAGGAAGACTGGCACAGATGTTAGCTCAGTGACAATCTTCCTCAAGCAAAAAGAGGAAGATTGGCAACAGACATTAGCTCAGGGACAATCTTCCTTACCAATAATAATAATAATAATAATAATAAGGAGAACCATCCCATTTAAAGGTGTCAGCTTTGTGCCTGTCATCCTCTGTCACCTCTTAGTGGGCCCATTGCTCTGTTTCCCACCATCAGCAGGGTTGTGGCATTGACTGTGCTGAGTCTCATCCTTCCCCAAAACTGTAGTAAATTAATGAGGATGCAGGAACGAGGCACCTTTTGTAGATGTAACAAAGCATCTGTCTCTGAGACTTGCAGGCTGGCAGCTCTCTTGGTATTTAACTCTCCTTAAGGATGTCATTAAAAAGGATTTTTAACAAAATTAGTGACTGGCCTTGGAAAGAGATTTCATGACCATCAGAGCATGAAATCAATCCATCACCCGTAAGTTTTGCTTCTGTGATCAGAATGATCCTGAGATCTTTTCCTTTTGACAAAAGGTGATAGATTTCAAATGATAACTCACCCTCACGTCCAATCTTTCGAACTTGAAATGAGAGCCTCTGCAGATAAGTGAAAAAACGAAGGCTCTTGGCAGAGTCAAGTCTCTGTACCAGAAAACAGCAACATCTGAGATACGCTATTTCCGCAGTCTTCAAAACCCCCATCACCAAATCCATCCTCCCAAATTCTCCATCCATGTGAATTTATCTTACATATGAAAGGAATTTTTGAGAAATATGGAATACTAGAAAGACTAATTACTCTTTGCCCTTTGAAGTTTTATCTTAGCTGGCAGGCAATAATTAGGAAATGTTTAAAATAATACTACTACTTTAGATAATGTCTAAGACTAAGAATTTGCCTTTTTTTTTCTCTGTGGTTTTCTTTTTAAGGCCAAAAGTATTTATCCCTTGCCTTTCCCTACTTGTTCTTCAGCCTTTCTGCTTCGTCAGTAAGTGGAAAGGAACTTTGGAACAAGGGTTCTCTAATTTAGAGCGATGGAGTGTAGCATCCATGCTACAGCAGTGTAGCATCAAGGACAGAACTAGGGTTTAAACAGGTTTATTCTCCTGCAAGAACCAAGCTCATCTCCCATGTACTTTAGGTTTCAGCGGTTTGCAGAATGATATGAGAGAATGGAGTATTCACAATAACGATTTTTTTAATACTAATCCTATTGGATCAGACCCCACTCTTATGACCTCTGTTAACCCCAGCTACTTCATTAAAAGCCCATCTCAAAATACAGCCACACTGGGCATATGAATTTGGGGGGGAGCACAAACATTTAGTCCATAACAGTTACTTAGAAGAAGATTTTTAAGCACCAATGGTAGCTCCTCTTCTCTATAACCACAAAAGGAGTGGAAATGGGCAATAGCAGAAGAAAGACGAGGGTGCTGCTCTTTTTAAAATGGGGTCCAGGCACAGGCACTGAGTTAGGCTCTTTCTATGCACTTCATCTAGTTTAATTCTAAAAGCTACCCTCCCGGACAGAATAAGAAGTGACTTAGGAAGTTTTCTGATTAGAGAAGGAGATTAGATATTAAAACCAGACTGTTCTGGGCTGGCCCGGTGGTGCAGCGGTTAAGTTCCCACGTTCCGATTCTTGGCGGCCCGGGGTTCGCAGGTTCGGATCCCAGGTGCGGACATGGCACCGCTTGGCATGCCATGCTGTGGTAGGCGTCCCACATATAAAGTAGAGGAAGATGGGCACGATGTTAGCTCAGGGCCAGGCTTCCTCAGCAAAAAACAAAACAAAACAAAAAAAGCCCAGACTGTTCTTAAAGGCCTTTGGAAATGGTATTGAAATGCATGGGTGTGGAGTGGTTTAATGTAGCTTGTCGTGAATCGGATTGATCATTTCAAGTAACTTCTAATTCTATCCTAGCCTCTCCTTGGTTTTTTGGGGGGGTGTTATTGAGGTGTAATTGACATATAGCCTTATATTAGTTTCAGGTGCACAACACAATGATTCAATATTTGTGTATTTTCCAAAACGTTCACCACAATAAGTCTAGTTAACAGCAGATGCGAGAGAATGGAGGCATTCACAGCAAGGATGTTTTATAAGAATACTTTAATAACCACATCGAATAACGAACTCCAGAAAAATGAAGTTGTTTTTCTTTTACCTCACATTTGAAAGCAAATATTAATTTTTAATCCCCCACTGAGTTTTTTGAAAACTGTATGTCTTTTTTTCTCTTCACAGAAAGAATAGAAGTTGCCTGCAGTTATACATGCTTATAAATATAAATACAAATTGAATCAACTGCAAAGTTGAGACCATTGTTATAGTTTAAACCCACATCTAACATAGGAACAAGCTGTGCTGATTTAATCCTTTAAGAAGGCTTCCTACTTCTTCCGTTTCAAGAATGTTAGAAGTTATGCTCATTACAAAGAAAGTAACCTAGCACTAAAAGCAAAAGGAAAATAAAATTTTAATAATGTTTTAATAGGCATAGTATAGTAAGCATGAGATCATTACAACATTTTTATCAACCCTATCAACCGTTGTTTTAGTTAACCCATGTTAACTGAATGCAATTTTATTTTTTTAAAGTATTTTCTGAGACAATGTAAGTCTTTCATATGCAATCTAAAATCATCCATAAAAGTAAAGTTTACCACCACTTTATAGATGACAGAAGACTGAAATGTACCATATAAATTATGAGTTTGATGTATAAATCAGAGTCCAGTATTTTCTCTAGTCTTTTGAGCATCTTTTTTTTAAATAAGGGCTTTTCATAATAAAAATTATTATAATTCTCAGCTTTTCTATGAGCTGAGCTTCCAATTCCATCTAAGAGAATATTTTGGAAAAGAAACTTATAGCACATGAACTCAAATTGCAGTGGAAGCTCTTTATGAAGAGATAGAAAGACTCTGTCTTGGGTTTCTTCCAAGAAACTCAGTTATTGGGATCCCATAAGGAAGTCTCTTAACCCTAAAGCCATCCCATCAGAAGGTGATCCCCTTAAGCACAGTTTCCAACATGAAATTAAGCCCTGGTTCTTCCTAATATGTTCAAACGATTTTCCCAGTTGTTTATCCACATCACTCCAACAGCTAAATGTTTTTTTCCTCTATGAGCCTTGATGTTTATAAAACCCCTGTATTAATCAAGATTGGGGCAGCTGCAGTGCCTGAAAACTCAACATAATTATAGCTTAAACAAGATCTAAGTATATTTCTCTTACACATAAATATGGGGCATCCAGGGCTGGTATATGGCTCCAAAGTCATCTGAGTATCCAGGAGATTCCATTTTATTTTGGCATATCACCATCCTCAATGAGAAGCTTCCACTGCATGGTCCAAAGTGGCTGCACCAGCTCCAGCAGTCCCTTCCTCATTCCATCCAGCAGAAAGGAGAAAAGAGGAGGGGAGCTTATGCCTTCTCCCTTGAAGGCCACTTCCTAGAAATTGCACACATCCTATCACTCAGAACTTATCACATGAGCACATCTGGATACAAGAAAGGTTGGGAAATAGACTTTATTCAGAATTCCCATCCACCTACCTAACATCCAGGCTTCCATTACCGAGGATGGACCAAGAAGACAACAGATAATGGAGACCATCAAGCATTCTCTGCCTCAACCTTTAAAGAAAAATGCCTAAAGCATTTCATCCCCAGAGACTGGAGATTTGAGGTCAATCATTACTAATTATTATGAAAATTTTCTTAAATTAGAGTTGACAAAACCACATGGTTTTATTTAAAAGTCCTTTAGTCCTGCTAAAGTTCTCATAAACCACATCAAATACCAGATGGTACATTGCTAGATCTTGTTCACTATTGGCAAGAAAATAAAGCATATGCAAACACAAGAAGGGTTAACATATTCACTGTCATATTAAAAATCTTACTTTGAAAGAATACCAAAATAGTCACAAAGTGCATGGAGTTGGGACAATATTCAGTATTTAATCATATTTCACCAATTTCCCCAGAAAAGCCACATTTTCTTCTTATAGGTTTTGTTAGAAAACTTGCCCCCAACAAGTAATTGACACTTTCTATGAAATTTGATGGATATTGAGTGAAATTTCCCTCTGTCTTACCCTGCGTCTATTCAAATAAGCACAAAGAAAGCTGGTCAGATCCGAGAGTGTCTTGAACCCAATTGTTAAGCGTTCTATTAAAGACATAACATTTCTTGTCTGTGTTCTTAGCCATCTATATTGCGTTCAAACGTCTTCTCTAATGCCAGCTTCCCTCTATAAATCTTTCTCTGCTATGCCTGTGAGTTCCATACTAAAGCAGCAACTGATGCCTGTGGTGTGAAAACTATTGGCAGCTGGAAGAGCTGTCTGCAGACTATTAAACCCCTTCCATTCTGCTATTATTCAGGAGTTTGGCATGCTGCGTGTGCATGGAAAAAACAAAACAAGAAAGCTCCCCCTGAAGCTTGTATAATGAAGATGAGAACTAACTAACTTCTTATGGCTTTTCCAGGCTGATTTAAAAAGCAAGATATTTGTCTTGGGTAAGCCTCCACGTAGCCCAGTGATGTCTAGGAGATCCTGCGGCTCGCCTGTCAGAGGGCTCAGCGGTTCCCACAGGGTAGGGTCAAAACACCCCGCCTTGAGCCGGACACCCTGGCCACCGCCCACACTCCCAGGGGGCTGGCTCTCCCTTAGTTGTCATTGCTGTGCTTTGCCAGTAAAGTAGGGCTTATAGAGGCACCCTCAAGATAAAGTGACCGACTGATGACAAGCTATGAAGTCAGATCAACACGAAAATCCTATGCTAAGTCTTTGGGCAATGTGCTTCCCCTTTATGTGGGTGTGTAAGCTTTCCAAAATGCAAAAAGACATGAGTCAGCTCTCCACCCTACAAATAAGGATGTAGTGTATGTTGTCTTCGACATCTGTCTCCTGCCTCTATGCAATGTTCTCTGCAAATCACTGCTTTCCAGTTACTATTTTTAGTGCAAAGAACAAAGCTGTTGCCAATCATATACTGAGCTCACACCCTTCCAGTCATGCTTGCATTTGTGTCATTCAGTTTATTTGGATTTTTTTTAAACCCATGATCCTTGTTGCAAAATATCTTGTTGCTCTGGTGATACATGCTACATTCGCTCTACGACCATTTTCAATCCAACCCTGCTGCTCAGAACTCTGGGGACTCCCAATCTCTTGACAGCTTTGACTGAACTTAAAAGTCAGATTACTTTTCCTTTAGCTACTGAGCTCTTTGGCATCTACAGCACTTTAAAATGAACAGATTCTAAATGGTACCATCAGTTCTGAGGACGGCAGCCAAAGCGTGTGGGAATTTTCATCTCTGCATACGCTGGGATTCCTTTCACCATTTCTATTTTCATGGACCCTAGTTCAACCTTATCTGGTCTATCACATAACGGGTTCTGCAAGTTTTTAAGGGCTTCATTGCAAAGATTTCCTTTCCACTTATAGATACTTCTCTGTGTTGATGCCGTTTTTGTGCTTTTTGCTTTGCATAATAAGACTTCGTTTTGTTTTTGAGGCACAGATTTGTGTTGCCATAGAGAAAGAGGAATGTTGATTTGAAGAGTCTTAGACTCCACTGAAAGACCTTCCAGAGCCAAAATAAAAAGAAAGTTTTTTCCTCAATTAATGTGGCCCATCCATAAATTTCCCATGGGTCGATGAGGTGGTATGTTCTGGGTCACCTTAAGTTTTTTGTCTTTGCCAGATTTTTACATTATGTGTTTGTATGTTACATGTGTTTGTGTGGAACATAAACATTCCTCGTTCTTTAGATTTATGCAAAATTGTGTTTCACCTTCATAATTGAAGAAGGAAAAATAAGCCTATATATATAGACATGTTGTTAAGAGAATTTCATCTAATTCTGGTTGGCAAGTACTACAGCTAAAATTTTCTGGGAAAAAAATTGACTTAAGAACTCTAGAACTGCTTATAATTCTTTTAAAGATTTTTCCACATTAGTATTTAAAATAATAGTCAATCCTTGAGAATTACCTAATATTAGACATAGCTAATCCTCCGGAGATGCCTCTGCAGAAGCACAGATAAATAGATGGGTTTTGGATACTGTATCTCACCATCTGAGATAGGGAAGTATATATTTTACTGATACCAGAGATTCTAGGATATTTCAAACCAGTTTCCTTTATGATCAGTGGTTTGAGATTTGGTCTGGCTTTAAAAATTAGCATCTCTTTAACACCTGTCTCATTTGTATCCATTTTTTGCAACATTAAAAAATAACTACACTAAACGAGAAAAAAAAATGCTTGTTACATGGCCAAGGAAAAGGTTAAATATTTAAGATTTCATGAAAATACCACGATGCTTCATTGGATTTTCTCATTTTTATTGTACTCTTAAGACTCATCAAGGCAATACAAGCATGATCTAATTCTCGCTCAAAATTTCCAGCGCGGTGTCTGGCATCTGTTAACCTGAAAACCATCTTCTTAAGTTCAGAGTTCATGTGAGCCTCTCTGAATGTCACAAATGTATATTGTTCTATATTTATTGCAAAACTGCTAAGAAGTTATGAGTAATAGAAATGCCTGAGCAGATAGTTAAAATAGAAATGAACACAGACCAAAAATACTGGCGGCTAAAGAGTGATCCTTTCTCAAGAATAAAAAACGTGGGAAGGGAAAAACATGGTCATACAAACAGATGAATATCTGTTCCACATCGCTCTGTGGTCTTTAAAACATCCTTCCACAATGAACCCAGGCTGAAGGAACTTGGCGAGAACTGACCCAAGGCAGCAGTCTTACACATGTTGCTGCCACTGCTCACCATTAGGTGGCAATAGAGTGCAGATACACTACAGATCGTTTTCTCGAGGTTTGTGCGGACGAGTTATAACACCAGGGTGGAAAAGGCAAGATAGTCTCCTAAAATAATTGGCTTGAGTATCCGTACAGACATAAATACTAGCCTAAAGGACAAAATGAAGACGCTGATTTTAACCAACGTAGGCCATCTATTCCATCATAGCAATCTTCTCTGCAATAAAGAATGAAAGCCAAATTATAATTCCCTTTCTTCTTTTTACCTATTTGTGATATTAAGAAATTGTGTTTGAGTTTTACTGATCTTCAAAGTGAAGTTGAATTATTACTACTGTTGTTTTCACATGACTGACACACTTGAGAATTAACCCATAAATGTCAGTTGTCACAGCTCTTTGACAACTGAATGGGCAAGGTTGATGATGGCATCTCTGCATGACAGAGGAAATATATCTGTGGACATATGGAGTCCTTTATGGATTCCCTGAGGGTCAAAATCTTAATCCTCATCTTGATGTTATGGATAAGGAAGCTTGAGGTGCCTATCCAAGGTTATATAGTCAATGCCAATCCCAGACAGATTAATGCTACTCATAAGTAACTATTAATGCTACTTACTCTTCTATTGGCCAAATACTTTTAAAATAAATTAATTCAAATACTGTAACTGGTCATCTTTCCTCAAAACTGGTTCCTACTTATCCACATTGACATGGAGATGATTCCTGTTAAAAGTAACCTTAGGAAAGTTCTAAAATTCACCATTATAATAAATACTCAATTTCTAATAAAAGCTGTGATGAATTCTGGCCTGACTATGTAAACAGTGCAGAAAATTGATGATTCAGAAAAAGTGGGGCAGAGGTCTTTTTAAAGGATATGAAGGAAGAGAAAAGACATATTAGGAAAGATTGGTACAAGCAAAGACATTACTGGCTGGCACAGCCAGGAACACAAGTTCTTGAGAAGTAAAGGACTGTGGAATTAAGGGAGCCACATACTTCTAGCAATAGCCCAGTTTTTGTAATTGTCAAAGGGATGGTTCACTGAAGTGATTAATGAGATGAGTTGAATTGAAGGAATTAAACGAATAGAATTGTAATAACAATAACTAAAAGGTTATACGTGGGTTTAAAAAGTAGAATATTTTATATTGAGTAACCATCTGATTTTTAAAGTCATATTCCCATTTTAACATAAGGGAGCAATGAAATCAGACCAACCAGTTTTACCAAGCACTGGATACCATGATGTAAAAGTAAAAACTTTTACTCCACTTAAAAATATTAGAATGGTTTAAATATGAGGAAATAGGCTCATCATTTTTAGAGCACAGTGAAATAAATTTTACAAAATATTGTCTCTTAAAAACAAGTAATATTTTCTTATTTATAGCTTTGTTATGCACTGTAAATGGTGCTATGATTGTTTTTGTGAGAGAACCGTAATTATCTTGGTAAGTGGTCTGAAATATGGCCTTTTAGACTTTTTTAAGTTATGTTTTTCTATGTAGTATTTTTGAGGGACTAACACGAGCATTTTCAATATCATGTAACTTGAATATATAATCTTTGGCCAGAAATTTTACTCCTGGAAATGTGTTCTCTGGACTAGTTCAAAAGAAGAAAATAGCTCTTTGTATAAAAATATTTATAGCATTGTTATTTATATTCCTAAAAAAAGTCCAGACCACTCTTAACTTCAAAAACAAAAAAGAGAGAGAAATGGTTAAGACAACTAAAAAACATATATACACATATGTGAAGGAATATTATTCTGCAGTGATTTACAATGAAAAAAGACTGAGAAAAGAAGACTGGAAAATTATTACAAAATGTTAATAGCAGTTGATATATACAAATCTTATTTCTGCATGAAAGTTACATATATATGATTGGATGAGAACTTGAAGAAATGTAATAGGATGTGGACTTATGGATGACTTATATTTACCTCTTTTTATATATTTAAATGATTTAATAATATGTTGAATTAAAGGACCTTAAAAATTGCTAGAAAACAGCTTAGTCTTAATTATTCTTAAAATAGTATATTTTATATTTTTAATAACAGACACATTGTTAGTGATCTTATATTGATTAATAGGAGTAAAGTATTCTATACTCTTAAGTCATATGTATGTCCAATAATTTTTATCTACTCTTTAGTCTTAAATTTATATATTCCATGCACAAGCTGTTGAGTGAAAATTCGAAGAATACTGTTAGTAAACGCTTCCAATGAATAGATTCAAAGCTGACAGTTTTAGTACTATAAATGTCTGGTCTCCTTATTCTAGGTAGACAGCATGGAGAGGAGTAGATAAAGAATTCAGGAATGGAGCAGGTTATGGGACTTAGAGATTGAAAGGAACCCCAGAGCTCCCCATCCAATCTGGGACCAGTGGGGTTTGTATGGACAATTTGCAGGGCGGGGGGGTGGGGATTCCCAGCCTGTCAGTGATCTACTCATAACTCTGGGATCCAGGAGTGGGCCCTGCGGTCTAAAGACTAGGATTACTAATTCAGGAATCATCAAAGAGTCACTTTTACAATTGCCACGCTAGTTGATTTATCTCATTTCACCATGTAACCGTCATTTAGAAGAGAAAGCTTTTGAAATGTGTTGTGAATGAATTGTAATGCTTCTTTTCCTCTGAAAGGTAACATTTAGGTAGTTAGTATAAACTACATTGAGTTTACGTATTCAACAAATGTGCTAACTTTCAATCGTTGCAATATTTATGTGGATGTATGGGATGCTAAGGCTTGTCATTTCCAATATTATAAGTATCTATTACAGATACTGGTCTTGATGCTTAGTTTAAAAAGAAAGGAAACTCTTTTGAGAGTTCAGTGCACTGGGAATTTCTACCAATATTTCTCTTCTAAGGTAAAATGTTACGTGTTACCTGGATATTGTTTGTTACATTCTATTTAAAGTTCTCTGTTTTCTCTTTTTAAAAATGCATGTGTTTTCTCTACATTGAGAACAGAGAATGTTAATTCAAATGTAGCATGGGATGTCTGACTATTGATACTCTCATCTGTACTGTATGTGAAAATGTTGTCTGTGAAGGAAAAGCATATTAGAATGAATGTGGATACTTTGCCGTTAGACTAAATGTGGTTTATTTTCTGCTTGTTTGAGAAAACGCTGAAGAATAAGGTTGTATGAAGGTGTCCAGAGTTCCCATTCTGGTGGTTTGGTGTCTGTGTTCTTGCCATGTTCCTGGCCTTTGAAAAATCAATGGGACTAAACTCTGACTTTTCCTTAAAGCTTGAGCAGATGAGATTGTAGATGTGTTTAAAACATTTGAACCTCGGTTATTTTGATTTCATTTAAAGTACCCTTCAAAATATCTTAATTACGAACCCTGCAGAAACCCTTTATTTGGCTTTTTTTCTTCCTCTTGGTTTTTTACAACAGGAAATATTAAATGTCAAGAAAAGTACCATGCCATTATCCAAATTATCTTTTAATTAGTACCAGTTTAAACATTGATTACATTGAGAATCATTTCATTTCAGCCACAGCGTCCTGTGTTTACTCATGAAAACATTCAAGGTGGGGGGGAACCGTAAGTATTATTCTTATCTTCTAAATTCAACACTAACCTTGACCCGCAAAACGGAAAACTGATGTACCAAGAGAGAGGATGGTACAGCTTTGCAAGTGAAAGAGATCAAAGTAACTACGTGAGACCTCCTAAATTAAGAGGAATTGCAATAGTCTCCATCTTTCATAATAGGTAGCAGAAGCTAATTTTAAAAAGACACCCATGATTTTGTGGAGAAGACTGTAGTTTATGCACTAGAAAAGCCCTCCAAAGCTCTATTGATTCCTAAGATTTATGAATCTGTGTCTCTCTGTTCTACTCACCATATAGATTCCAGTAACTACAGCTTTAAAGACACAGAGAATGTTCCAACATTGTTTTCACGCGTATTTGGAGACCAGGAGAATGTCAAAGTAGACCTAAAGTGATAAGTTAGGAACATCATTCCAAAGTTACATTCCTGGAAGGACCTTTGAAAATGGCAATATTGAAACAGTCACTGTCTTTCAGTTAAATGCTTTTTCATGCTTTCAGATTCCCTCTCCTTTCCAACAGATCAGTCAAATCAACCATTAATTCTCTCCTCACTCCTCTAAACCTGGCACTTAGCTAAAAGCATGCACTTCAGAAACCATCTCTCACCTGAGAATGGCTCTCCCTGAGTACAGCCAGAAAGGTGTTCTTGTTAAGGAAAAGCCTGTATCATGAAAAGACCAGGTTGGAAGTAAGAATCATTTAAAATTTCATTTAATTCAAAAAACTTTAAATATCATTTGTAACTCTAAAGTTTTGATTTGCTTTCTTATTTACACCAGCAATGACAGGATCATATCACAAGAAATAAGTTCCAGGGCTGTTTAGGTTTATTGCATTACCAGCACATTATTTTAAGCAGCTTGTAAGGAGTTTATGAATTAATGGGTATGTTAAGTTGCACGGTTTCATGTAATATGGAGTTAATTCCCCCAATCATGGTCATTTGAGTGTTTACGAAACCACAGAGCTTACAGGTTGGAAGAAGGCAAATTTCAACATCCTGCTTTGGACATTATAAAACATTCTTTATTAAATGTCTGTTTGATTGCAACCCCAATTAGGGGGATTATGGGGTGTCACTTAATCTCTTTCATTTAGAAAATAGATTTTGAGTGAAAATAGGAACATAACGTTATGATGTCACTGTAATTCAGAATTACAGTAAAATATGCTATAGAAAAAGTTGCAAGTTACAGAGAGAGCTTCAAGTTTGGCTGAGCACACCCTATTTAAAAGAGAAATTTCTTTGTGAGGCATCCTGACCCCACCAC